TCTTACTTCTATCGTTACATTACATTTAGTGCATCCTTCTCGTATCATATATCAAACATATCATTGAACACATCACACCATAAATATTATCATACAATTCACATATTATAGCATAACATAAACATAATAGAAGCATATTGATTCACAGTTTTTTGTTGACAAGACCCTTGGAGGTTAACTCGCACTCCCCTCACCCGCCACCGCACACCCTGCACGCCCCCCGCGCGCGCTCCCTCAGTAGTCATCCCGCACACCCCCGCGCGCTCACTGACACAATCGCACTTTTAAAGGCAGCGGACTAGCGATTGTGCGGCACTCACTTTCCAACGACAAGTGAGCTAAGCCAATTTGTTCTTGCGTTGCCTACAGCCAAGCGACGTATGATCGAGCCTCTAGCCTCAGTATTGAAAGAAGGTTTTAGAAAACGAGGTTAGAGAGAGATTTTAGAAAGAGAGATTTTTGAAAGAGACGTTATATAAGCAAGCAAGAGAGAGATAGCAACGACTTAACATATATAACCTTGGGTAGGGAGAAGTTAACAACTAGTCATATCCCCCTATAGTACATTCTGAGGCATTTCATGTCTGGCAGGCCTAGACATGATATTTTTGAGGCGTCATACGCCCTAGAACTACAAAAGTAAATACACTAGAATGAAAAGACGTGACAAGGGTTTGGCTTGCTATGGACATGCGGCCATGGGCAACACGCCCTAGACAAGCATGACTGTGACATCCTCCCCCACTTAATTGGTTGACGTCCCTATCAACCGACTACTTTCAAACCTTGCGATGTGGGTGGCGGCAGAGTTTAGATCTTCGGCGCTTTCCCAGCTAGTTTCTTCTGTAGGAAGATTCTTCCATTTGACGAGGAATTCATGAATCGTCCGTACAGGTCTTCCTATCTTCCTAACCCTGTCGGCAGTCTTGTGATTTCATTTCGTTGGTCGTCGTCTGGGTCAGGGTGGTATGGCTTCAAGTTGCTCACATGAATTATTGGGTGGATTTTCATCCATGCGGGTAGTGCAACTCGGTAGGAGGTAGTCCCGATCTTTTTAAGGACTTCAACCGGGCCTTCATATTTTCGAACTAGTCTCTGGTTCTTTCAGCTGCGAAATCTGATTTGTTCTGGTTTCAGCTTGATGAGGACTTGATCTCCTGCTCGGAATTGAAGGGGGCGACGCTTCTTGTCTACCCACTTTTTCATATGCTTGGAAGCCTTCTCTAAATATGCCCGGGCTATATCTGTTGTCTGCTTCCATTCTCTTGTGAAGTTGTGAGCTTGAGGGTTTTTCCCTGCATAAGGACTCTTTCCCATAGACGAGCTGGTTTGACAATTGGAGCAAAATTGGGCTTGTTTTTACAACCATCACCCATTAATTGTGAAAGTACATGTGGGGTGGTCGGTTTGTTGTAATTTTTTTCTCGAGAGCTAAGCAACATGAAAAAATGATTCTCACAAAATTTCAGATTTTTTTTTCACAACTCTAGCTATTTTTTCTAATTTCCTATTACTTAATATTTAAAAACTCATTAAAAAAAATTGGTTGGTTGAAAAATTATGAAACTTGATTTATAGATCCATTAGAACGTCCCATTAATGAATCAATCGAGTTCATGGAAAAAAACAATCTAAAACTTGAGATATTTGACGGTATGACGGCTCAGAAAAATCGTATCTAGGCCTGGCAGACCAAAAATGCCTCAAAATGTACTATATATGGGGTTGACTAGTCTGCATGGGCTGGGCACGGGGGTACCCCCTATATCTTCCGCCACCCCCATGCCCCAAGCAATATGCGCCGCACATGGGCATATGCTTGGGTCATCGAGGTGGTCGTCGGAGGTCGAGGGCGGTTGATGGCGGTGGTGCGGTGGCGGAACGCGCACGGTGGGGCAGTGTCGAAACGTTCCCGCGTGCTCGCCAGCCCCGCCTTTCCCCTCGCGTGCGCCCCGCCCTGCCCCGCCAACGTGCTAACGCGCACGCACGCCCCACCGCCAGCGTGCTCCCGCGCGCGTGACCCCTCGCTAGCGTGCACCTCCGCCAGCGTGCTCCCGCGCGCCCTGTCTTGGCCCCGCCAGCGTTCTGCTGTGCGCGCGCTAGTGCCCGCGCCCCATCCATCACCCATTAATTGTGAAAGTACATGTGGAGTGATCGGTTTGTTGTAATTTTTTTCTAGGAGCTAAGAAACATGAAAACATGATTTCCACAAAATTTCAGATTTTTTTTGACAACTCTAGCTATTTTTTCTAATTTCTTATTATTTAATATTTAAAAATTCATTCAAAAAAATTGGCTGGTTGAAAAATTATGAAGATTGATTTATAGATCCATTAGAATGTCCAATTCATGAATCAATTGAGTTCATGGAAAAAAAACATTCAAAAACTTATATATTTGGCCGTATGACGGCTTAGAAAAATCGTATCTAGGCCTGACAGACCAAAAATGCCTCAAAATGTACTATATAGGGGGGTGACTAGTCTGCATGGGTTGGGCA